CTTCGAGAATCAATTTCTCATTCACCCGTTATCCGTTTTGAGCGTACCATATATCGAATTGTAGCCCTTAACAAGGACAATCCGAAACCACTTTGACCCGACCCAAATCGGAAGTGGACCCCACTCAAATAATTGCCCCAAAATGACCATTTAATGCAATTTTTAACACATTTTTCCAACATGACATCCCTGATTCTAAGTATGGGGAACGATGCATTGTTCCCAAATCTCTCATTTCCTCCAAAGCGATTAGTGTAGTTGCTCAATAGTTCCTTGTGTCCAGTCATGTGTGACGAGCAACTAGAATCAAGATGCCACACATGGCTGACCTGCAAAACAGATTAAGTTTGCTTAGGTACCCATCTCCAGATGGGTCCTTCCTTATTAATGTTGAAGAGTTGTTTCACCTTTTGTTTAATGTGGGAACCTAAGCCAGCTGATTTAGAAGAGTTTATCGTTTTTAAATTTTCAGTTTCGGCTTTAGGAACTCATTCTTGTTTGAACTTAGGAGCGAGGGAGGTGTCTTTGATTGTGAATGGTTCTTCAGAGAGATGATCTTTCAGAATTGTTTCTTGAGAGAGCCTTCTCAGATGTTTAACTGAGTGAACCTTGAGGGGGTACCTTAAAAACAGTAGTCTGTACTCACCCTCAACGTTCACTTTTACAGAATTAGGCTTCTTCAAACATTTCTCAACAACCACAGTATTATCATAATCAGAGGAGGAATCAGACTCAAAACAGCAAACATTCATTGACTTAACACAGTTTAGAGAGCTACGACACTTGACAAATGTACTAGAAATAGAACTCCTAGAAACAACACTACTAGAATGACAAGTCGAAGGTTCGCTTAGGCTACATCTAGACTTATTCTTATCATAAAACAAGACACTTGACCATTTGTTCTTATTTCTTAGACGAGACTCTTCATTACTCTTCCTTCTTCTCAACTTCTCTTCAATCCACTCTCCTCTTCACATGGTTTCGTGCTGGTGAATGAGATTTGGAGTGAGTGGTAGAAGTTTTAAAATCGTTTGTTGAATTTTCAAAACATTTTTCGGAGGATGAGGGGAAGTGGTTTCAGATCCTGTGATAGATTGAGAGGAGTTCTTTAACAGAGAAATTTCATTTAAAATTTTATTTCTTTCATGTTCAAAAGCCTATTTTTCTTTATCAAAAGATTCTTTTAACTCAGCGAACTTTTTCACGAGTGGTGGAATGTACTCTGGTTTAGCTACAGGTTCAAAAGTTGATGGTTCCTCTCTATCTTGCACAGTCTCTTTATCGACTGGATAAGTGAGAATCTCTTCTACAGAAGTTAACAGGATCTCTGTGTCTTTGTAACTCTTGTTCAAATTTGTGTAATCAAAAGGAATCTAAGTTCTAGACTTGGTCTTTCTTTTGTCATCCTCAAGGGCATTCGATTCTTCAGCTTCTGTGAAGGCTATAAGTTTGGTCAACCCTAATCTCATGTACTTGACGTCATAGAGTTGAACACAATTGAATTTTTTCAAGTACGGGGGGATTAGAGATCCCTATGCCTTCGTTAGAACTGCAAAATCGAGTGTCCTTAGGTTGGTTAAGGAAAATAGTCTGATCTGTTTGATCCCTTTTGGCTAACAAATCTTCAAGTTCCTTAATCTTAGTGTAAAGAGAGTCCCTAGTGGAATAAAGTGTGTTGTTTACAGCAAAGAGTCTAATTCTTTCAGCTTCAGTGCTACTAAGCTTCTTAGTCAAGTCTTTAACGATAGCTCCTAGTTTTTCGTTTTCTATAGTGAGCTTAGTGATCATTTTCTGTGAATTGGTTATTTTCACATCCATGTATGACTCCTTCTCTATCTGTTTGACTAGAACATTGTATTTATTTTTCAGTCTCCCTTTAAGGTCCTTAATTATTCGGTTAGGATCAGATTTAGAGCAAGGTGAATCACAAGAATTAGAAGTACTTACAACGTCATTCGAGTCCTCATTCTTAGCACCAAGGGCAATTACCTTGTCATTCTAAACGTTCTCCTTCTCTTGTTCCACCATGGCCATCACCGTTAGGTTCTCTTCATCATCTGAGTCATCCATCCAGTGATCTTTGTCAACAATCAATGCACTTTTACTCCCATCGTCTTCCATAACAAGCACCATTTTTTTCTTGTTCAGATTGATTTTCTGCTTGTAGTAATCAACATCCTTCATTCTTTTCGACAGCCTTTAATCCTTGATGAGATGCCGTGACTTTCCACAATTGAAGCATTTAGGGGCATTCTCAGCATCCACAACTTCGGATTTATCAAACGGGCATTCTTTCTGCTTGGAGCTGGTTGAGGACTTGCAAAGTCGGTTAGAGGATGAGTTCTTCTTCTTAAAGATTTGATTATGGAACCTCGAAGTCAATATGAGGCCGTTTCTTTTGGAAGTTGAGGAATTCATCATCCGATTCATCATCAAATTCAATTTTGCTTTCTTCACTTTGAGGGACAAAAGTGAGCAGATTTGGACAGTGCATTCATCTTTTCCTTCTGAGTCTTGTGAGCAGATTTGGAGGGTCTCTCAAGCATAAGAGCCAAGGTGTTAGCTAACATATCAACAACTGCTTTACCTTTCTAAGCCATAACATTAGTACTCAAAAAGTCAGACTTGTCATCTGCATACTGATAAAGAGTGTTATACACAGCATGAATATCCATCTCCTTCAAATCTTTTGTGTGTCTGACATGAGAGCACGACTTTCTCCGATCTGAAGACAAGAATCTGACATTCAGTTCCATGTTGGATTTGTGAACGTTGATCTTTTTCATTTCGTTGATCAAATGCAGAAATCTGAAGTAGGTGTATTCCAGTGACTCTCCAAGTTTGGTTTTGAATGAATCGTATGCAGTAAAGGTGTTTGCTTTCTTAGCTTTCACTCGAATATTGGTTCCTTGCATGACTTTAAAGATCTCATCCCAATCTCTTTAGCAGTTGACATGCTGTCAATTTGCATGTAGATGTCGTTCGAGATGGCCTGCAGTAGGTACGTCTTGGCCAGGAGATCTGCTCATATTCTGATTCTATCTTCATCGTCATACTCTTCTTCAGTCTTCAGCCTTTGGGTTTCACGGACTGGGGGGTTGTTTTCTTCATTTCTGTTAACAGTGATCATCAGCTGTGCAGAACCATTTGTGATAGAGTCCAACAGACCGAATGAGTGGTCTTTACTTTCAAGAATGTTCAGAAATCTATTCTTCCAGACAGTGCATTCACCTCTTCGGAGTATCGGTGGCCTTGTGTCGTTACCAATCGATAGAGCCTCCATGTTAGAATTGATCGGGCTGAGCAGTTGATTGACTAAGTGTTTCTGTTTTTGCTTAAGTACAGCTTCGCGCAAAAGGTTAATGCACACATACAGGTTCACGCACATTAACAACGATGTGAGTTTTTTCCCACTTAAAATACATAGTAGAATAGGGTGCAAGTATGAGTATCGTCTTCACAGGGATGGAAAAAGGTAATTAAGTATTAACTAAATTCAGTGATTAAAAGAAATAAAATAAAACGCAATTGTGTGAGATTTGATAGGTTGGAAAATTAAAATGCAACTAAACAAATAAAAATCTTGGTTCTTTCTAATTAATGACGGGAGCAAACATGGATTGATTCCGGGGTAATCATATTTCTCGCTGATCAGGTTTAATCACATGAAAATTATTTAAATGAGGAATGCTAGTCAATACTAAGTTCTTACCAATCTCGCGGCGTAAAATACAATAATTTAAAGTACTAGGCTGATCTCTCATGCGACAGGTATCTAAATTATTACCAAAACGAGCGAACGTACGACCCTTAAATTGTTACTAGTCTCTTCGTGAACGATTAGAGATTTTAACGGTAAATAATTCCACTAAACTTTCGATTACTTTATCACCTGGAGATTTTAAAAGAATTAATTACCTAAATAGGAATAAAAGGTATTCCACAATCATAAATAATAGTACAATTTTTTTTATTCACCGGTAGAATTAATTATGTGTGTTTGGACAAATATACCCTTGTAGCTTTTGAAATATTTTAATTCATAAAAAAATTCACAAAAATAATAAAAAATTCTAGAAAATAATAAAGTATTTTTTAAATAAAAATTTTACAAAACAATATTTTTAAAAAAAGTTAAAAAAATGAAAAAAATCACTGCCACCTCTGTCACCCCAGCACCACCACCTCTAGTCATTGAAAAAATGTCACGTGCATTAATAGTACCATATTAATAGCAGTTTCAATGAAAATTTTAGCATTATTGAAGAGCAATATGCCTTTTTTGCTTTTAAAAAAAGGACATATTTTTACAAAAAAATGGAATTTTTTACACCAGTCGGAGGTGGTGGTACGGGTAGGAAGTAGAGGCGGTGGGAAAGGCATCCATATTTTTTTTATTGTTTTTTATTAATTTTTGAATTTTTTGAATTTTTTATAAATATTTTTATTTTTTTTTATTTTTCTATGATATTTATTGTTTTTTATGAATTTATTATGAATTAAAACAGTTCCTTATGAATTAATACACTTAAGAGTATTTAGGGTGTAAAATTAGTGTTTAGTCCTATTTGTAAATGATTTAGCGGTGTAGTCTTATTAGTGAATTTTAGCCTAGTTTTAATCCTCTTTATGGAAATAATTAATTTTAAAATAATATCTCCTTTTTTTTAAATTTTGTCATTTTTCTTTTTTTGGATGTTTCATTGATTTTGCTACTTTCCTTTTTAAGCAAGGAATTTATGATTCCAGTTAATTCTCTCCTATGCACAAGCCTTAATCATACAATTTTTACTTCATTAACTTCCCTATCTATCATGAGACACGTGGTCTGCCCAAGCATGAGACACGTACGACCGGTCAACTACAGAATTGAAAGCCGAAGTCAGCCTTCTGGAGAGTCCGATTTCTTTCCGGCTGTCTAAATATAAGGATTGTTTGGGAAGAAGATTAAACCAGACAAAAAAGAGAGAAGAAAATGGCACAAATGACAGTAAGAGCAGAAAATGAGAAAGTGGGCACATCCTCCCCTCACTTGGGCTTGGAACTTGGAGAGCTCAACACCCTCGTGACAATGTCTTCACAGCCATTGTTGAGGTACCTTAACACCCATACATAACTTTAGGACATAGACATTTTTACCAGTTAGCGTAGCTCAACCGATAGCGAAGGGGTGCCACAAGGGTTAGGTCCCGGTTTCGAATCCGCCAACTGCGATAGGGTTACTATGTTAAAAATGCATAGAGCCTCTGCAAGTATCGGGGATAGAGTCCCACTCTCTATCTGTCAGATTGAGATTATAGTCCAATTTAAATCCTCTCAACGTACCGTCCGATCGGGATTTGGGGCCCCTCAGGGATCGCGTGTCATCCTTTTCTTTAGGACATGACATTTTTTTTTCATATTTTTTTTACTTTACAATAGTTTTCTTCAATAAATTCGAATAAAATATAACTTTAAAATTTTCTATTTTGATTATTATACAATTTAGTTTATTGGAGCAGGGAGGTATGTTCAAACAAAGATAGAAGTTCTTTCATTGATGAAACAACCTTCTCTTAAAACAGTACGGAGTACTATATGTAGCACTATAATCTATACTTTGGATAAAAAATACTAACTATTTTTTTTTTGAAACGCAATTATAGTCGTTAATTAATACTTACTAAGTCACAATTTTGTTCACCGGCTCTCTAAAAGTAATATTAGTGATTTTTTATAACTTATAGTTCCCCTTTGATAATTGAACGTATTGACTGATTCTACTGAAATTTATGAAGTTTTGGATGAAGTGGCTGGATTGAGAGATTCTGCCGATTTATGAAAAAATTATATTTAAAATATATTTTATTAATTAAGAAAAGATAAGATCATGTGAAAAATAGTTAACTCCGATCTTCCAATCTTCCATTTTCCTATTATTACACAACTCAGTGTGTAAACCGATAAATTGGGTAGTTTTCTTTCAAAAAAACTGATAAGTCGATTATCTACTATCATTGCATTTTTCATAATCTACTATCTTTGCATTTTTCATCAGTTATGACTTATGAGTGGAATTGAAAAATGTATTAGTATATATGTACATGCAGGGAGGATATAGGCACATTGATACAGCTGCAGAGTATGGAGTCCAACGGGAGGTAGGAAATGGAATCAAAGCAGCCATACACGCCGGAGTTGAGAGGGGAAAACTCTTCATTACATCCAAATTGTGGTATGAAAGTTACGTAGTAATTAATTTATAAATACATACATATCATATGATATATTTATACACATTTGTTGAAATAAAAAGTCTTTATTCCCCTGGAGCATCACATTTAAGAGCACGTTTGGTAACACTAAAATAGATTGATTCTGCGGCTGTATTGACTGATTCTGATTCATCAAAAAATTATATTTAAAATAATTGTTATGAATAAATAAAATAAAAAATATATATGAAAAAATAGCTAAAACGATCTTCTAACGTACTTCAGCCAGTAAAGTAACTTCAACCTTACTTTTTTTTATTATTACATAATTCAGCGTGCGAAATAAAAAGTTACGTGTTTGGTGAAAAAGTTGACTCATAAACGTGATAAGCCGAAAAAAGAGCTCACCAAACGAGCTCTAAAACGTAAAAGCTAAAAAAAGTGGTCACACCTAATATCAAATACTTTGAAGGGAAGATGCATTACAGAGGAATAAAGTGCACCTTCATTTTCGTCACAAAAATGTGCATTATCCAACGTCAAGATGTATAACAGACATGAAAGGTTGCACTCATGCCCATTTTGTACAGGAAACGCTCTTTTCCCCATCTATTTTCAACTTTTGAGTAGGAAAAACTTATGTTTTATGTTTTATGTTGATGTACAATCATCCCGCATCGGTTTGATATAAAATAATACTCTCTCCGTTCCAAAATAATTATCTCACTTACTTGAAAAGTCTATTGGGAGTTGCGACAGTTATTTTGGACTGAAGGGAGTAAATTGATATTCAAGACTATGGAATATTCTTGCTCCTATCAGAATAACTCTTTAGAATGGAACTCAATCTTAATAGTTCTGGAATCTAGCCATAGTTTTCGCCTACCTTATGAGTGAATTTTGCAGGTGTACCGAGTTATCGCCTGAAAGAGTTCACCCTGCACTTATGAGCACACTTGGGGAGCTGCAACTCGACTATCTTGACCTTTATCTGGTAATTCATATACTACAACAACAACAACAACATCCAAGCCTTAGTCCCAAAAGATATTGGGGGTTATCTGGTAATTCATATATTCGAACAAATTTGTACTATGGTATTTTTATGTGTTTCTAATGATGGAAAATGTGGTTTGGCTGGATATATTCACTGGCCATTCCGCCTGAAGGAGGGAGCAAGCAGGCCTCCAAAAGCTGGTGAAGTTTCTAAGTTTGACATGGAAGGAGTTTGGAGAGAAATGGAGAAGCTAGTGACAGAAACTAGTGAGAGATATTGGGGTTTGCAACTTCAGTGTCAAGAAGCTCCATAAGCTACTAAATATTGCCAAGATAAGGCCTAGTGTTTGCCAGATGGAGATGCACCCTGGATGGAGGAATGACAAAATGCTGGCCGCTTGCAAGCAGAACAACATACATGTGATGGTACTAACGTACATTTCTCGAAGTATTTCTCCCACACTGATTTAGTATAACGCAATTTATGAGTTATTTATAGGTTCACCTTTTGGATGGAACGTCATGTCTTACGTTCTTATGTTACATAGTACATAATATGTCTCGATTATTTATATTTTAAATAACTTGTAATCATGGAGAACTGTTACTGTTAGGCATATTCACCTCTAGGCTCATATGAAAGGGATCTTGTGCATGACCCTGTTGTGGACAAGGTGGCAAAGAAACTGAACAAGAGCCCTGGCCAAGTTCTTGTCAAATGGGCTATTCAAAGAGGAACCAGTACCATTCCCAAATCAAATCATGCTGATAGGATCAAAGAGAACATAAGTGTTTTCGAATGGGAATTACCTAAGGAAGATTTTGAAGCTCTTTCTAGCATCAGTGACCAGGTAACTTTGCTCTTATCTTTTAATTGGATATTTGTATGCTCTTTTTATCTTTGACATATGTGTGATGAATGATCTATGTCGTGTTTGCAGAGACGGATTCTGGATGGGGAAGATCTATTTGTGAACAAGACAGATGGTCCTTTTAAGAGTGCTGCAGATTTATGGGATCATGAAGATTAACTTTGTTACATAATACATCTATGTTTTATATGAATAAAAAAGATTCAGGGAGTTCGACCTCTGTAATAAATGCTTAAAAATAAGAAGACTTGAAGAAACTTTGAAAAACTCTTTCTACCAATTCTGGAAAAAAGTTGCTTGATCCTTGCTTTTATGTTCTTTTCTCTTTTCACCTATGGGCATGATGATTTGAACTTTGCTATGTGTTTCATGGAATTATTGTCATGTTCATGTTTGGTTTGCCACCTTTGATACATCTGACGAATCAAATAAGTTTGATTGACTAAAAGATGAAATAAAATCCAAGTACCAAATGCAAAAAAAAACAAGTTGTAGCCGTTGGAGCAACCGAAACAATTACGGAAGATTTTGATCTTCTGATCTTCTTGAGCACAAAATGCAGCATTTTGATCTCCTTGAACAGAGATTATAGAAGATTTACATATCACAGATAAGACACTAATCAAAATTTTGGCTCGGTGTTGGTGGATTCCTAACTCTATGGCGGCATTGGCACTCGTCACCACCTCCTCTACCATTGCCACCTCCAGCAACTTCATCTCCCTCTTCATTATTAATCTTATAATTAAGTAGCGTGTCAAGGCCGTCATCAGTCTGGGCGGTGATGGGGGAGTTATCGGTGCTACCGCCAAGCGGTGGGAAGCTCATGCTAAGCTGAGCTACCTCAGACATGGACTTCGTTAACATTGGCCTAGGGCGTTTAAAGAATAAACAAATGACTGCGCAATCGTCAACCTTGGAACATGGGTATTTGTGTTTCCATGCCCGAACCGCCGTCTCGACTAGCATTCGTGCCGCCATTGATCTCTTCCCTACTGAAGCAACCGTTATGATCACCTCGTAGTTACTGAGCACATCCCATACCTATGACACAAAAGTTGATGTTTCATTTAACAGTTGCTCATTCAAAATGTGTTAAATGTCAATAAACACTACAAGTAACATATAAGACTTTGGATTAATGTTGCAGTTTTAGTCTTAGAAGTGACTAGTTTTCAAATTATATACTTACACCATCGGTAGCTAAAACAACGAATTCGTCCCTCTCGGAGATCTTTCTATAGTACATCTCGGGGGAGGAGATGAGACCATAGTCTTTCAAACAAAAGTCTCCGAAGGCTCTAGCCATGGCAAGGCCTGGACAATCTTGATCAGGCATCCACACTCTATACACATTTGGTTCTTCTTCGGTTGCCATTACTCTCCCTTGACTATTTTTAATACGTTCAGATTCACCTGATTGAACAATCAAACATGACTAAATTCACTCTCATTGTAACTGCTCTTAATTTGGGCGACAAAAGAACAAGAAACATGAAACCTTACTTGGAAGGTTAGGCTTTAAGTCGACTGTAAGTTGTTCCGGAACAAGCTGATCTGTGTCATCTCGGGTGCACATTACCGCCCGAGAATCCCCGAGATTCCCTAGTATCAAATGTTCACCCTACAGTAGATCATACAAGTGTATATATATTAAGAGTCATGTACATGATTATAAAAAAAATAAGCCTCACTCACTCCAAAAAGTCATTAGAAAAGCTATTAAATAGTGATGCATTTATCTAGAATATTCTATGTAGAAAAGGCTAGAGATGATCTAGAGAGTTAAAGGTAGAAAGTATTCTAGAAAATTCTCTACTAGAGAATTCTTATAAAATCTAGAGTAATTAGACATAGATGTAGAATACTCTAGAATCATAGCATTTAATAAGGATCTAGAATGATCCTCTAGCTCCTATAAATAGGACTCATTGTACTCATTTTCAAACCAAGCAAAACCAAGAAACATCAATACAATACTACTTTTCTAGAGACAAGAGCTCTCCTCTAAAACACATCATCTACATTACACCTCACTAAAATCACTTATTCTATTCATACAACCAACAACCTCTTCTATTTTCTAACAAGTGGTATCAGAGCCAGGTTCGATCATAAGCGGGCATTATGACGACATCAAGCTTCTCGGTTTCAACTCCGATGTTCAATGGAGAAAGTTATGACTATTGGAGTGTCCGTATGAAGACTTGCCTAGAATCACATGATCTCTGGGATATTGTTGAAGAAGGAATCATCATGCCGGAAAAAGGAAGCGACGACGCATCAACTTCCGAGGTACGTAAGAAACAAAAACAACAAAATGCTAGAGCTCTCTATCTTCTTCAACAATCCGTTTGTGATACTATTTTCCCGAGAATAATTCGTGCTACTACGGCAAAAGAAGCTTGGGATATTCTTAAGGAGGAATTTCAAGGAAATGAGAAAGTTAGAACTATTAAATTACAAAGTTTAAGAAGAGAGCTCGAAAATTTAAAGATGAGAGATTCTGAAATGGCAAAAGATTATTTCTCTCGGGTTATACATATAGTCAACGAAATGAGAACTCTTGGAGAAAACATAACCGACGAGAGAATAATCCAGAAGGTCCTAATCAGTCTCCCTGAAAAATATGATCCAGTAGTTTCGGCTATTGAGGAGTCAAAAGATCTATCAAAAATGTCCATTACTGAATTAATGGGGTCGCTAGAAGCACGTGAGCAAAGGCTAAACAGACGACACGAAAGTTCATTAGAAAGTGCCTTCCAGTCTAAGCTCAACATTAAAAGGAATCACTCGAGAAATGGTGAAAACTTTAAACCACATAAAGATGGGAATTCTAACAACAAGGAGAGGAAGACGAACTTTCCACCATGCAAAATATGCAAGAAGACTAATCACTTAGAGAAAGATTGCTACCATCGAGGAAAGCCACAATGCAGAAATTGCAAGAGGTTCGGGCATGAAGAAAAAGATTGCAGAGATAGAAGAAACTATCAGGCCAACTATTCTGAAGATTTTAAGGAGGAGTACATGTTCTACGCATGTCACTCAGCCATAGAAGCAAAAGAAGAAGAGTGGTACATCGATAGTGGGTGCAGCAATCACATGACATCCAACGAGACCATCTTCCATGACTTAGACACCTCTATCAAGACAAAAGTCAAGATGGGAAATGGCGATTTGGTGGAGGCAAAGGGGAAAGGTACCATTGTCATAGATACAAAGAAAGGTACGCGCTTTATTAGAAACGTTCTCCTAGTGCCACGCCTTGCACAAAATCTACTAAGTGTTGGCCAAATGATGGAAAGTGGATATGCCTTGCACTTTGAGAAAAATTCTTGCCGAATTTATGACAAGAACAATAATCAAGAAATTGCTGAAGTAAAAATGGGAAATAATAGAAATTTTCCTATTCAATGGCAATATCCACAAAAGGCGATGGTGGCTCAACTGAGTGATACGAGTCTATGGCATCGAAGATTTGGGCACTTCAATCTCAATGCCTTGAGATTACTACACCTAAAGAAGATGATGAGAGACATGCCTCTACTGGATGAAAAAGAAGGAGTATGTGAAGGATGTATGGTTGGGAAGCAGCACAGGCAACCATTTCCAACAGAAAAGACATGGAGAGCCAAACAGATACTAGAGCTTGTCCACACCGATGTTTGCGGTCCAATGCGCACGCCTTCAGTTTCGAAGAACAGGTACTTCATACTCTTCATCGATGATTACTCTAGGATGACATGGGTGTATTTTTTCCAAGAAAAATCCGAAGTCTTTAGAATATTCAAGAGATTCAAGAACTTCGTGGAGAAACAGAGTGGTCATCAAATCAAGAAGTTGAGAAGCGATCGAGGTACCGAATACAACTCAAAAGAATTTGACAAGTTCTGTGAAGATGAAGGTGTAGAGCATCAACTAACAGTAGCATACACTCCACAACAAAATGGGGTATCCGAAAGGAAGAACCGCACAGTCATGGAGATGGCAAGGTCTATGTTAGCTGAAAAAGGAATGCCTAAAACGTTCTGGGCAGAGGCAGTATATACTTCAGTCTATCTTCTAAACCGGTGTCCAACTAAGGCGGTTTTAAACAAAACACCTATTGAGGCATGGTCTGGACAAAAGCCTTCAGCCAAACATTTGAAGGTCTTCGGAAGCATATGCTACATTCATGTTCCCTCTGTTAAAAGGCACAAATTAGAAGACAAGACAAAGAAGGGCATCTTCCTTGGCTATAGCTCCAAATCCAAGGGATATCGAATCTACAATCTCGAGACAAAGAAGTTGGTGACAAGTCGAGATGTGGAGTTTGACGAGCAAGCCTCTTGGAATTGGAGACAGAAAAAGTTGAAAGAAAGACAACTACTGTCCAACTAGAGGAAATACCAGAAGAGGAAAATCACGATCAACAAAGCCCCACGTCTACTCCAAGATCCTCTTTTGAAGCTAATACATCAAGAAATCACGACTCCTCACCAGAGTCCCCACCTCTTCGGGTAAGAACTCTAGCAGACCTATATGAGTCTACTGACATCTATGAAACATGCAACTTTTGCTCCTTGGAGCCAAATAGCTACACCGAAGCCTCCAAAGAAAAAGTTTGGATTAAAGCAATGGAGGAGGAGATCAAAATGATAGAAAAGAATGATACTTGGGAAATGGTAGATCTTCCACATAACAAGGAGGTTATTGGAGTCAAATGGGTGTATAAAACAAAATTGAACCCCGATGGCTCAATTCAGAAGCATAAGGCAAGGCTGGTTGCAAAGGGGTATGCTCAAATACCGGGAGTTGACTACACAGAGACGTTTGCACCAGTTGCCCGGATGGACACAATAAGAACACTCATAGCTCTTGCTGCTCAGAAGAAATGGAAAATTTATCAGCTAGATGTCAAGTCAGCCTTTCTAAATGGAGAGCTACGAGAAGAAGTGTATGTGGAGCAACCAGAAGGATTCATCAAAGAAGAAGGAAAAGTTCTTCGTCTAAAGAAAGCGCTTTACGGGCTCAAACAAGCTCCACGAGCGTGGTATAGCAAGATTGATGGATACTTCACCCGTCAAGGGTTCAGGAGGAGTAAGAACGAGGCTACACTATACATCAAATCCCAAGGTAAATCTGACATTCTCATCGTCTCTCTATATGTTGATGACTTAATTGTCACGGGAAATAATTCCAAATTAATTGAAGAATTTAAGAGAGACATGATGAACACTTTTGAGATGAGTGACTTGGGATTAATGCACTACTTTCTTGGCATGGAGATAAGTCAATAAGAAGAAGGCATATTCTTATCTCAAGAAAAATATATTAAGGACATGCTAAAGAAGTTTAAAATGCAAGACTGCAAAGCCGTCGTTACTCCACTGGTTCCTAATGAAAAATTGAAGAAAGAAGATGGGTCAAAGCAGACGGATGCAACCAATTACCGAAGTTTGATTGGGAGTCTACTCTACTTAACGGCTACGAGGCCGGGCATCATGTATGCTACAAGTTTGCTCTCGAGGTTCATGGAAAGTCCAACTGAGACTCATTATGGAGCGGCAAAGAGACTCCTTAGGTATCTACAAGGAACCATCAATTATGGTATTTGGTACAAAACAACTCCTGACTCACGACTAACTGGATATTGCGACAGTGATTGGGCTGGATCTCAAGATGACATGAAAAGCACCTCCGGTTACGCATTTAAGCTGGGTTCGGGAATTTTCTCATGGGGATCAAAGAAGCAAGATTCTGTTGCACTATCTTCAGCCGAAGCCGAGTATGTTGCAGCAGCCGGAGCAGCGTGCCAAGCTATATGGCTAAAAAGAATATTAGAAGACATGGGAGAATTGCAAAGTTCTGCGACTCAAATATTTTGCGACAACAAGTCAGCTATTGCGATGGCTAAAAATCCAATTCAGCACAATCGTACTAAGCACATCGATATCAAGTATCACTTCTTGAGAGATGTCCAAGCAAAGGGGCATATTGAGATGAAGTACTGCCCAACAGAAGAACAATTGGCAGATATTTTCACGAAGGCCCTGCCAAGAGACAGATTCCAGTTTCTGCGAAGAATGCTTGGAGTCACCGACAAATGCATCAAGGAGGAGTATTAAATAGTGATGCATTTATCTAGAATATTCTATGTAGAAAAGGCTAGAGATGATCTAGAGAGTTAAAGGTAGAAAGTATTCTAGAAAATTCTCTACTAGAGAATTCTTATAAAATCTAGAGTAATTAGACATAGATGTAGAATACTCTAGAATCATAGCATTTAATAAGGATCTAGAATGATCCTCTAGCTCCTATAAATAGGACTCATTGTACTCATTTTCAAACCAAGCAAAACCAAGAAACATCAATACAATACTACTTTTCTAGAGACAAGAGCTCTCCTCTAAAACACATCATCTACATTACACCTCACTAAAATCACTTATTCTATTCATACAACCAACAACCTCTTCTATTTTCTAACAAAAGCTATATCTTAAACTATGGATATATATATCTCATAATATGTGAGACACTTTAGTATATCATCTTCATTTAAATTAAGTTGGACAACTCTAATAGTGAATAAATAGGCCAAACCAACTGCAAGAGTTTTATGAGTTTATAAGAATTTTGATTAGTTACGATTTCATATGTCGATTCATGTTGGTCGACCCAAACTCTTTTGGGACTAAGGCAGTAAGGCTTGCATGTGGTCATATTTGTTGTATAAGGATTTGGATTAGAGTAACTTGTCGATTGTACTCATCCGTAGTTGTTTGTTTCAATTTGAAGTCAAGTTTATTAATACCTGCTTAATTAAAGTAACAGCTGTTGTACCACTGCAGTAGCTGTCAATCCTTCCCTCACCTTCAAGTTCATTATCCATATCTCTGAAGGACTTTTGGAAGTGTGATTTCCATATAGAAAACAACGGAGTCTCAAGAACATCTTTCTCCAAATTCTCCTCCCTGTCGCAGTCCTTTGACTTTATCGAAAGCTTCGATGGTAAACGATCACGAATGTAATGCGCGACCCTGTGACCGGATGGTCCATGTCCGTCAAACACACCACAAAAGTATGAACCTCTTTCTCCTCCAAAGTGCTGAACATCATAATACCATGGTCATTTAATGTACAACTTATATGTTTGTTAATAGTATTGTGTTTTTAGAATGTATATAATCCATGGGAACCTATAAATGCGCATAATATGATGGTAAACACATTCTTCTAATAATTATTGATGCACTTGTAGTAATCTACACATGAAATAATTGAATAGAATGAAAAGGAAAAAGTACCTCCCAAACAGTCATGGCATCTTGATTAATACCCTTTCTGCCTTGTTGAGAATACATGGAAACAAACCTAGAATATCCATGGAACCTAACCCTTGCCCCAAAATCTCCCCTTCCCACAACCCCTTCATGTTCATCTTCTATCTCCCTGGCATCTGTGTTTATCACATTTCCAAGTCCATAACCATCATACCTCCTCACTCTTTGGCAGGTACAACAAGCACCCATTTTTCCTTTTTTTTCTTTTTGCGTTTTATAATCATGCAAAATTCTCAAGGAAATCGAGTATGTTGAAGGATATCAATCAATGCCATTGCATCCCGATCCCGACCCAATTGAAACTCTGCAGATTTCTCCAAGGATATGATCAAATTTGTGGGAATGTTGGCCTATGATGCAATAGTATCTTGGATTAACAAGCAAAAAAGGGCAGACGTTTTTTTAGTAATTATAATTTGATATTGCAAGTGAAAAGAATGTTGACAAATCATGAATGTTGTCTCATGAGAAGAGGGAAACATTCATGATTTGTGGGATAAATGAGATAAATAATTAGAATATATATATATGATTTGCAGGATAATCAAACTTAGAGGAGGGGTTTTTGTTTTTGTTGAAGATTGGATGCCTAAATGGCAACACCTTCCCGTCAATTTTATCCATCTTGTGTTTCTACATACTCTGTACCCCTGTTTTCTCTCCTCTCCTTTCCTTTTTCATTCTGTGTATCTCCCTTTTTTAATCTAGTTCTAAATCCTAAATTTATAATGGTCACTAACTCTTAAACTCCATCTTTTGAAGAATTTACTATGCTTTTTTATCACTATATAAATGGGTCTAGATTTTTTTTCAAAAATCCATATCATTATTTTGGTTTAGAATGCCATTATAGAACATTTTTAAAGGGCAAGGATATCTAAAATAAATAATAAAAAAGTTTTGAAATTACAAAATAGGACTATCATATTTTTTATTCTATAAATAAGAGTAAATTTGTGCCAAGTTTGGCATTACTAGACTTTTAAATATGACATTTTTTTCCAAACTTGACAGATTACTCATATTCAAGAAATTAAAAACATTCTACTTCTATTTTGAAATTTCAAAGCGTTTTTACTCAGCAATTTCTATATCTAAAAATATTAACCACAAATGAGCTGAAATGTTTTACGATAGATATTTGGGGAAATGGAAACTAATAATCCAACCTTTTACCGTTCTTCTTACAATAGTCCCACCTTTTGATTATTCAGGAATAATCCAACATTTGCACCTCATCTTCATTCAATGGTCTCTGACCGGTTTATGACCTATTATTCCAAATTATTTTCTTATCTTTCCAATATATTATATCATAAATCTCACCTTATGGTCACATAATGTTTTGCAAAGATAAGAAAATAACTTGGAATAGTAGGTCATAAACTGGTCAGGGACCATTAAATGAAGATGGAGTGCAAATGTTGGATTATTCCTGAATAATCGAAAGGTGGGACTATTGTAAGAAGACCGCTAAAAAGGTTGGATTATTAGTTTCCATTTTTCCTATATATTTAGGTACCATCCATTTGAATTTCCGCTAGTTTGGCTGAATTTGTCTGAAGCACTCCAAGTCTACTCTACAATAATTTATCTTCACGACTTCATTATCATAATCAAGCTTACTATATTCCAGTTCAGTATTATGTGTATTTTACTTGATATTGATCTAATTGACTAGTCTTATTCAGGATGGAAATCGAATCAAATGAACGCATCCTTAGTTTCTTATGATCGAGACATGATACATTGATCTTTGAGTTGACACTAGTATTATTCAGTCTTAACTCCCCAAAATCAAACTTCAATCCAAATCATCCATTTAAGAGTTGATATTAGTAATAGTGATATTAGTTGATATTAGTTGAATCGATTGAATCTGTTCAAATTTATGAAGTCCTGGTTGATGTGTTTGAATTTATTGACTCTACTTAATTATGAAAAATTATATTTAAAATATATTTTATTAATAAAGTAAAGAAAAAGTTATATGAAAAATAGATAACCTAATCCTCTACAATTAGGTTAGGATTCAAAACCAGACCGGACCGGAACCGGTTAGGATCGGAATCGGAATCATCATTTTCTATGGACCGAAGACCGGACCTGAATCAAACCGGTCCGGACCGGTCTGGACCTGAATTTTCCGGTCCGGTCCGGTCCGGTTTTGACCCTAATTGACCCGGTTTTAGAAAAAGACATATTCTCTTAGAGAGATGTTAACTAACCCAAATTTTTTTAGGAATAAGGCTTGGATGTTGTTGTTTCAAACTACTGTATAATTTTATGTGTGGATATGCTAAATAAGCTAAATAATTGTTTAGCTCATTTATTAATTTTGAAATATAGTCATTAAAAATATTCAATCTTAACAATTAGTTTCCCGCAGTAATTAAAACTACAATCTTTTGTGTATATTAAAATGGAAAAATATATTGTAGATTAATAAAAACTAAATTACGTCCAAAAATATACTACGTATAAACTACATGCACACCTGCAAATAAATAAACAAATAAAAAACAATTTGGAAAAATCAAACAAATATAAACTATGATCATAGTAGTGAACACTTGCACATGAATAAACAAATCAAAAACAACTTAGGAAATAATAAGACACCAAATATACACTCCATATATATTCATTTATATAATAAAAGACGAAAGTAAGCCATAAACATAATGACTAATGATACAAAACGAAGTATATATTTTACGGAACAATAGTTCACCAGTCCATTCCGATCCAAACCTGCTTTTTTCGGGTTTGACCCGGACCGGACCAGAACTCGGAATCTTGAAAAACTAAGGACCGAAACCCGGACCGGTTAGTACCGTTCCAGTCCGGTTCATTCCGGTTCGGTTCCGGTCTAAAATACGATCCGACCCTCTTAATGCACAGCCCTATCTATCTACAATAACTTCACTCAATCCAATTGATTGAACCGAAAAACATAAAAACTATTACCAAATGGGCTAAATGTATTTAAGAGTATGGACAAAAGTAAGGAAAGATTCAAAGAATGTTGCTGTTAAAAGATATACCATACACCCTCCCTAAAACTATTTTGTCAAATTCGTAGTATTCTCTAAATATTATCCAAAGAAACTGAATTTTTCTCTAGCCACAATTCTCTTTTACAGTTCACATTCATATAATCATATCTACTTTCCGACAATTTCAATGCTTTGTTAAATGATCAGTTGACTATTCATCCCAGTATTGATGCCTTGAACTTTGTCTCATTGAATTCCACAAGGATAGGTTTTTGGAGTTAAGTACTTCCAAATGATTGTTTTCATTTCTACATGAGTCATGCTGACATTGTAATGGTAAAACTAAAGACCAGAGAGGGATAGAGGATGATAAATCTCAGAAATGGTTGAAGGTTTGGGAACCAAAAACATTTAGACAATCAGTTAAGCTTCCTCCGCAGTCTGGAAATCTGGAACACAAAAAAACAGCATTTGATGATAGAATTTGCAACAAGGGTCAGGCAAAGATGACAGCGCAAATAATGGAGGAACATACATTTATTCTATTAGGTTTAGACAGCTCAACATAAGCAGATTTGGCTCCTTTTGGAGGCTTATTCTACATATTTTGTGCATCAGCAGAATAAGCAGTTCTTAATTACTTATATAGCTGGAATCAATTTCTGCAAACACTTCCCCGTAATGAAAACAGATTCACCCGTAGCAATGACCAAGCAGGCCATTAACCAACAGAAATCCCACAAGTACACAAAAAGAACAAGCATGGAGTTCCAGTGTATCAAAGAATTGGAAACAAATTGAATTTACACTTGGTGAGCAACATCTCAACATTATTTATTTATACACCTAACAAGAGGTTGTAAAACATGGAATGGCAGATAAAAGGCATGGAACAATTTTGAGAAAATAAGGGTAAGATTTCTTTTGGGAAGGTCCAAGAATGGAAGAATAGATACAGATGAAATAAGAAAAGTAGCTTAAGAGAATGACTAAAACAATTGCTATCAGTAAAAGAACATATAGTTAGACTGATCACCACCATTGATGAACAAGAACTCCACTTTTTCTAAGAGAGGTGAAAAGATTCAAACACTGCCCATATGTTTTCTCATACTTGGCACTCCTCTCCCCAGGACAACATTTCTGCCACCTGTTGTAATGGCATTCAAGAAACAGCTCATCAATGAGACAGATCGCTCCTGTCTCAACCAACCTCGGAATCAAATCAAATTCAGTCCCTTCCACATCCATCTTCATCACCACATAATCTCTTTCCGTCACTGTATTTTTCAACCATTCGGCAAAGTCAAATGCTTGTATCCGGTCAACATCGCTGGCAGAGCCCGATGATGTTTGAACTGGTTGAATTCTTCCCATTCCTCTACCTTTTACCACATCTTTGTCCCCTGGGGTTTGGTTAATCTCAAAGAAAAGGGATTCATTCCTCACCCAAGCCGCATATGGAAGCAAGACAACTCCTTTCTTGGACTTGTACCCCTCGTGGAAAGTCTTGTCGGCCTCAATGGCGTAAATCTCAAAGGTTTTGTTCTGTTTGGGATATTGTTTCTTAAACCAGCTCACAATGCTCGAACCGTAGCTTCTTGATCCAACATCGACGTATATATATCTTTGCTTGAAATTGATATCCTCCATTGAAGGTAAGTACTTTACGTGTTCAATGTTCTTCTTCAGAGTAATCCATGGTTTTTTGGGTTCCTCTCTAATCAAAGGCTCAGCTTTTTTAATCAATTGCAGCTTGTAATCTGGAACGGAGCATTTAGTATCTGAACTAGGGTTTGGTGAACCTCGTCCAGAAACTTCAGTATACTTTTGCAAAATAACTTGACGGATAGAAGGCATTTTTGAATCAAATCCAGCAATATCTATGTACTTTACCAATTTACAGCAATTGAATAAACCAATTAAAGAATTGAAACTATACGTGTCATTGGAACCTGTGTGGAGAACCAGAAACCCTTCGGGTTTCAAAGTCCTGCAAATCTCGTCGGCGAAGGCCCCTGGATGAACCGAATTATCAATCATTCCGGCACCGGAAAAGACAAAATCGAAGGAATTGTCATCAAACGGCTGCTTTGTAGCCTGACCAGACACCACCAAAGGCTTGGATGCTTTCTTGGAAACTCCGATGGAATCTGAGACTCCGATCTCTTTCAAGGCAAAAACATCGGAACCCTTCTCGGTATCCACACAAAGGGCCTTCCAATAAGGGTTCAAATATCCGTCTGCGATCAGATCTTGAAACACCGACGAGTAGAACTTGGCGGCCTTCTGGAAATCCTTGGTGGTCCAGAGATCAGGGTGCTTAGGTTTAGCCAGAGCCGATTTCCCGTCAGCCTCGCTGGTCATAACCGCCGACGACGGTTTACCGAGCTGTGTGGCAACGGAGACGATGTTAAGATTCTCCCGCAGAGAGAAGAAGCAGAAGTTTCCGAGGTCACACGACTCGCCTCGGAGAGTGACAACATAGGCGAACCGGATACCGATGACGACAACGCAGAACAAGAACAGCCGGACGAGTACATTCCGCAAGAAGCTCGGCTTCCCGGAGCTGTGATCCATATTGAACAAAGAACAAATTATCTATCACTAAGAAAATGTACTTATATTCCGTGTCTATATATTGCTTCGATTGTTTCTGAATGAGAATATCAGAAAGAAGATGAAGAATAATAGCTAGGGTTGGGAAAGAATATGAAAAAGGCAGTTTATCTGGAGCAGAAGCGGGCGGCGGTGTGGTTGGCACCCAAGAGAGAGCCGTGAGAGATTGGAGAAGAGATAGGTAAATTGAAATCAAGGGTAGGGCCAAAACGGGAAAACATAATTCGGGATTCCCGAAGACGATGAGGAGCAGCCGAAATTCACTCTGCCCGTGTAATGTCGGTTCTTCCAATTTCAAAAATAATCCGAGTTTTTAAAGAAGAGAAGAACAGCAAATTGGACTGGAAGAGGAAATGCAGAAGATGAAGAGGAAGAAGATTGGGGAACTTCGTAGGGTTCCAGGAAGAAGACGACAGCTGGGAGTTATGTTAACCGCTTCAGTCGGTTACTGTTGGCGACGCGGTAATGGCCGAATGAAGTGGGCCTAGGGCTTGGCCCGCGTGGGGCCCTTCTGGGTTCTATTTCTTCTTTTCGGCACCTATATGCGGAGTATATGGCTATTTATCAGAGACGGTATACCAGTACAGACCCTTATACATATTTTATATACATGATGTTTATGAAGTTTTATTT